AAAAAAAAAAAAAAAAAAAAAGGAAATAACTGGTGAATGGGAATTAGCACCAGGACACTAAAGAGTTCAGTTACAAAGAAAAATGGGGGAGCCTGCTTTGCCCATCATCGAAAGCCTCCCTGAGAGGGCAATACCTAAACCCAAGCTGATGAGAAGGCATCAGCCATACAAAAAGAGACCAGGAAAGAACAATTAATTTTCCTCAAGAAAAGCAAGAGCCTAGCGGCTGTCCCAGCTTCCCACTTGGAAACAGCGTCTCATCTGCTTGTGTAAGGAGGGCAGTTTAGGTGGCTGGAATGTATCTGTAACCTCATCAAGAGAAATGAGACACTCCAATTATACGTGTGAGTATTCTGCTTGAGAGTGGTGTTTAGGACCGAATTCTCCTAAACATGTTTGTGAATTTCCCGTTATACGGAAATTCCCACTCTTCCCACCTAGGGTGCTCACTTCCAGCCTCTGCTATAGAATATTGAGAATTCTTGGTCCAGCCCAGCCTCCCAGGGCAACTTCACTGACCGCTGCTGCTGGCCCTGCAGTGGCTCAGCCCTTCCGGCTTCTGCTGGAGCTGCCCTCTGTTTCCTTTGAGGCTGGTTCCATTCCTGTGGTTTGAGATTAGGGATTGAGTCTTTGTGCCCCCACCTATAATTCATCAGTGCTCAGCAAGCTGTTTCAAATCACGACAGATGCCCAGGCATCTCAAGATCCCAAGCAACCAACATCCAAAAGAGCTAGCAGGTGGCCCTGAGTTTCGCGTGTTTTATGGAGATTTGGCCAAATGGGTACAGAGATAAACACATGCAGAAAACTAACCAGAAGTCATGCATCCTCTCTACTCTGGGTATGCTTTCCAGTAGGCCAAAGCTGAAGTGATTTCCTCAACCCAAGGAAGAAAATCATACACTGGAAGTTATAAGTAAGTGCTCAATGCTAAGAGTAAGCCTCTAACTAAGATTCTCCTACTTTAAAAAAAAGAGTCATTTTTACAGTACAAAAATTTTATTTTTTGTTAGGATAATTTAAAGTTTAAAACTGAAGTAGACATTATTCATTTTACAAACAAGATATTCTTTCATAAGTAAGACCATTAAAAACAGTAAACAAAAAAGCTGTCTTTACAAAAAGCTCTGTGCATAGCAACTTTATACTGTATATAACCGACAAAGCGAAACAATAAAGTGAAACTGTACAGCTTGAAAATGAGACCTTACTGTACAAAAGGTAGAGAAGATAATGGTTTTTAAACCATGCATATTGAAATGTGCAAAGAAAAACTGGGAAGAATTTTGATGCTATAACAAAAAGTGAGATAAATAATGAAGTAAATCGTTCCTTTAAATGAAAAAATCATACACAGCTCCTCTTAGGAAAGATAGGATAGAATTTTGTAAGTTACATATAGAAATACTCATATTCCAATGGGCAAAAAATAACCTGGGGCCAGGATGATTCAATAGCAATGACTAAAGAGGACAGAGTAGCTTTGCTTTTAATTTATTAGTACACTAAAAATAATCCTTACACACATTTGTACAATTAAATAGATCTGTTGCTGCCAAGGTTCTAGCTGAATGGTCAAGGATGTCCGGTATTTAGTTACACACACTTTTTGGTGTAAAGCTACCAACAAATTCTACAGTCATTTTGAAGACAGTACTGCACTCATCTTCATGCAAGAACAAAATTCACAGGTTCTAAAAGCAATGCTACTTAAAAAAAAAATTTTCCTTATGTTGGATTGGCTCAAATCCAGGTCTAGACATGCTTAATTGTGTCTGCCTTCACTTTGGGATGGTAATGTTCACATTCCGCTCATTCTCCCCGTCTGTGGAATTGTTCACTGGGGAAATTTTGCTTGTGTGCTTCTGTGTATTTTGCTGCTGCAAGCCCTGACTGGAAGGGACTGTCCACAGTAGTTAAAAGCATGCCAGATTTCCAAAGCCTTGGATTCTCATGTGCATACAGAAAAATGTTGATCACACTGGGTAATTCCAGGATGAACCGGAGAGGAATAGGACAGCTGGGGTTGAGTTGATGTGGATATGTACCGGTGAGGCAGAGAAGGTCATCTGAAATTGGCTCCCTTGCACTATAGATGTTTTGCCATAAGAGCTGCATCAATTTCTAACGTTAGAACCCAGCCAAGAGTCCAAAACTAAACCTGCCTATCAACCTTACCCTGCTTTCAATGAGCCAATGGGAACTCTGATGGGGGAGGAAGTGGCATCCTATTTGCAATCCAAGTGAGCCTGGGTGCATCTCCTGGATCCCACACGCTCTCAGGAGTCAACCATGTTAGCAGCTACTGCAAAGTTCCCCCTAAGAGCTGGTCACAAAACTATGGGGAGCTCATCAGAGGGCTGGGTACCTATGCTGCTTGGAGCACAAGTGCCCTAATCTCTGAGCTTCCACCAAGCATCTCGGTTTCCATGTCTCTGAACATCAGGAGAGGGGCTCAGGGATTTTTAACTTCACTCCTCCACATTCCATCCCTCTCTTGCTCAGAAACAGTCAAGTGGGATTTTTAAGTGAATTTAAGAACATAAAAGGGGCAATCTACAAAGAAAGTAAAGGACTTTATTCTAAAATTGATCTTAAGAGTCCCAGAAACAAAGTTAACTTCTCCAGACTCTGTTTCTGGAGTTCCGTGGGGCTTTAGGTCTCTGTACTGAGCCTGTTAACCAAAAGAAGAGGGCATGTGTGGTTCTGGCAAGGAAGAATTCCAAAGGAGCCCTTGGTTAGCAAAACCTTTTGGCTTTTGCGCTTCCCAAAGGTGAGACCCTTCTTTCCTTGGGATGCTCAAAGCTTGGGACTAAAGCAAAGAATTCTCTGCCTTGCTCAGGGGATAATGCTGAAAGCTAATGTGGATTTTTTTTAAAAAAGAAAACTATTCACAAAGAGCGAACACCAAAAGGGAAATGTAGACTACTGAGAAGACAGAGCTGGGAAGCAAGTATCGGGTGTGAGGACTTGTGCGTGTGCATGTACTTGTGTCCTGTTTTTATGTAGCGTACTGTACTGTAGGAAACCTACATAAGGTACATGTTCTTGCTCACGGGTCAATAAAATGATAGAAAAAGAGGGGGATGCATGACGGGGGTAAGAGTCTAGTAAATAACTGTAGTCATTATCACACACCTTCAAAACTGGTTACTACATGTTTGCATCATTTTCATTTTACATCAGGAAGAGAAATCCCTCTCTCTTCCAGAAAAAGGTCTTAATTTCTACTTCTACTTACAATAAGTTACACGTTTATTTATTTAAATAACTGTAAAACATTTTAAAATTTTTTCCTGTTTTTGTTTGTTTTTTTTTTAAGAGATTAAACTATAAGGAAACACACATACAACGTTTCATCATTCAATTCAGTTTTCATGTTAAGAAAGTCTTCCATGCTGGTACCCTGTTTTGTTCAATTTTTTTTCTGCATAAACTAAATTGTTATCTGAAAGGCTTCATAGAAAATAGAAACTTTCAACTTTTTTTTCCTACAAAGAAAAACAAATAGTATCCAAAATATTAAGCATGAATTGTTTGCCAATTTTTTTTCTTAAATATTTTACAAACATAGGAAGGTGGTTTTCATAATGTTCATAACAAAGAATCGCATTTCTGCTCTTAGCACTGACCACATCAATGACAACTTTTGTCCTTGTCCCCAGGAGGGTCAGTTTGTGTAGCTACCATCAGAGCTACGAGGGAAATGTAAGACCAAGCAAGATGGCGGCTCCTTGCATTCCCAAATATGTCGATCACGTCCATTTGGGGCACAACTCTCCCTAAAGAGCTCAGAGTGCTTTTCCTCATTATTGGTCCATCAGAATAAGTAGTTTTGTGCTATGAGAAAGCAGTTCCTCCTCCTCTTTACATTGGGGGTACAACAAGTCCGGTCATGGCTGCAAGAAAAGAGTAGCACAAGAATGAGATTTGGAGACTTTTACGCTAGAGACCGTAGTACAGAGAGGGAGGCAGGAGACAGAAATGACAGAATCCAGTCCAATCCAGGGAGATGGTGCCCTCAGCTGAGAAGTAAACCAATTTCCTCCAGGTTTGGTCTAACAGAAAGACACCTTGAAACCTTAGGGAATCTCTGAAATACAACCAAAAACTTGTTCAAGTTGTGCTTGAGAAGCCCAGAGGCATGTTTTGTTGTTCTTGTTGTTTTACATTAATGAGTTGTATAAAAGAGTTGATAAATGAAAATGTGTAAACTAAACTGCAATGTATGTGGCCTATATTTTTCACTATTTGACAAGATAATGTCCAGATTATACTGTTCCATATCACCTAGATGGAACAAAAAGGGAAATTTCAGGTATTGAGCCTGTGGGCTTACTAGGCATCATTTATGAGAGACCAGGTTTCCTAACCATCCTGGGTGTCCTTGTATCTGTTCTAGCCTACATCTCATTAGCACTTTTCTTCCAGACAGCGCCTTTTCCTTCGGTGCTCAATGCTATGCGACTACTCAGTGCTGAAGGCAGATCCACAGGGACAGAAGGCGGAATTTACTTCCTAAGGTGGGAGTCACTCCAGTTCTCCCTCCGCACACTCTACCCAAGGGCAGTGCCAATGCTTTCCCCATCTAGGCAAGAAACGTGGCTGATTCCTGCTGGGGTAGAATCAAATACAAGGTTTTCTCTTGATGTAGGAAATAGAGCAGAGAAGCAAGATGTGGAAAAAGTCACACAGGAAAACACATTCCTGGTCTTTGCTTTGACATGATGAGTTCCTAGAATCTTCATATTTTGGGGAAATGGCACAATAGCTTCCTTGCATCCAAACTTCTAATCATATCTGGAATGGGGTGCTTTGATTTCTCTTGCCTACAGCACATCTAGGGGAGTACAAATATAAAAGCATTTTCCTGAGTTATGCTTCCTGAGCTTACAATAAAATGACCAAATCCTCTCTGCTTTCCCCAAACCACCTCTCCTCTCCCCCTTCCCCTCTCTGCCTCTGTCCCTGTCCCTGTCCCGGTCTCTCTCTCTCTCCCTCCTCTCTCTCTCTCTCTCTCTCTCCCCCCCCTTCTTCCTCTCCCTCTCTGCTCCCTCTGCCTCTTTTTTCCATCACAGCTAGTTCTCTCGGGCAAAATTGTCAGCCGTCTGTTTCCCTTCCCATACAGCCTTTATTGAATGTTTGTGAGATCTGGATTAAGGTCTTACACAGCTAGCAAAGCCTTAATTATTTTTGCCTGTATTACTATATATTGAATCGATGTAACTTTTCAATAAAGGCGGTTCAATTCTGGACACTCCCTGATGACTTGGAGATATAGCAACTCTAGTAATTATCCCACAGTGCAGGAGTTTTTTGTTTTTTTTTTTTTTCTTGGGGAGGTGGAA